ATATATGATTCTTCTATCAAAGTTCAAGATATATTTTAATTTTTTTCATACATAAATTATTTTTTGACTTCTTTATTATAATTATTTGACTTTCTTATTCTTATTTTATTTTTTCCTTTCATTCCTTAGTTTAAAAAAATAAAATTTAATTGCGTATTGTAATTTTATTTCGTATTCGAAGAAAAAATTTGGTCATCTACAATAAGTTTTACAAGAATATTAGTGAAATATAAATAAATTTGATTATCAAAATAATAATTATAAATTAGTCATTGAAACAAAAAAAAAGTCAAAAAAAATATTTGGCGAGGAAGAATTATATTTTTTAGAAATAAATAATAAAAATTTGGATTAAATTTTTTTTTTCATTTCCGTTAGAGGAAAAGGGTATATGTGAGCCATTTATTTACAAGTAGGGATATATATAAGTCACTTTAATAACGAGAGGTATATCAGCTCTAAATAATAAAGTTGAGGGGTATATCAGACCTTTTTCCCAAAATTTAAATATTGGGGCTGGTAGGAGGTGGGTAGGGGAGCTGGCGGGGGGAAGAAGCCGGGGTAGGTGAAAAAATAATTTTTGAAGTTGAAAATATTTTTTAAAAATAAAATTAATTTTTTTTGGAGTTAGGGGAAGGGGGGCTGGAATGACGTGGGTAGGAGGGCTCGGGGAAGGAGGTAGGAGTTAAAAAATAAAAATATTCTCAAATTTTTGGGAGGGGGTGGGGGTGGGGGTGGCGGTGGTGTCTGAGTAGGGTGGGGTGGAGGTCAGGGATCGAGTGAAAAATAAAATTATGAAAATGAAACAAAAAAAAATGTAACTTGAAGTTGGAGGAGAGTTTTTGAAAAATGTTTTCCTTAATTTTTGAAAGGAAGTCATTTTCCTTAATTTTGAGAAAAATGAATTGATTTGGAAAATATTTTTGAAGACTTTTGTCCCAACCAAACATGAGAAAATTGAAACACATTTTCTAGAAAATGTTTTCCTTCGTACCAAACACACCCTTGCTCATTTTCCTTTTTCACTTTTATACTCCATTCACTTTTTCATTTTTTTTTGTTCATGAATAAAACCAAAATAATATCCAAAACAATTTGAATTTATCTTTAAAAAATCATTTTTACCTAATGTATGCAAATTGAGGTTATAGTATAATTTAGGATGGCGGTATGATTGGGGTGCTTGAGGCAGATTAAAAAAAACGGTTGATTACTCAAATAGGATTACTGCGACTGCTGGCACAGAGTTAGCCGATACTTATTCCCCAGACACCGTCATTGCTTCTTCTCCAAGAAAAGAAGTTCACGACTCGTGGGCCTTCTACCTCCACTCAGCATTGCTCCATCAAGCTTTCGCTCATTGCGAAAAATTCCCCACTGCTGCCTCCCGCAGGAGTCTGGGCCGTGTCTCAATCCCAGAGTGGCTAATCATCCTCTCGGACCAGCTACTAATGAATGGATGGTGGACCATTATATTTGTATAGGATTGTATTCTGGACACTCTTACTTATTCTTTTGTCATTTGGATCCCTAAATCCATCCAAATTCAATATTTTAAACACTTTTTTCGTTGTAGTATGGTGCATGTTGCACAAACACATATACATAGGTCAAAAAGAAAAAACAATAATATATGTATGATATTAAAAGAACATTAAAATTTAAAAGATAAATAAATGAAAAGAACAAAAAAAGGGGAGAGGGGAGTCATCTTCTTCAAACCCATTGCTTCCCCCCCACCCCCACCAAATCTAATTCATCCACTCTAATCGCTGCCTCTACCCCAATCAAATTCACCCACCATTTTCCTTGTTATTCTTCTTAACACCAATTGGAGTATCGAATACAGTTGATTTGAGAGAGTGGATGATGGATGAACTTGAGAATGAAAATCTTTGGAGGTGTGCACTTAAGTATTTAGTGAAGGAAATTGTTGGAATTGAGTTTTACAAGCCGAAATTGTTAGTTAAATACTTTTGTTGAGATAAGATTTGCTATCCAACCGTTATCATCGTAAAGACCAACAAAATCAAATCAACGAAAATACAATACAATCAACACACACAAAAAAAAGATGAGTAAATTGAAGAAAAAAATAAAAAAGAAGAAATTTGAAGAGAAAAAATCAAGAAAAGGACAAGAGAAAAGCTCAAATTTGTCCAACAAAAGGTAAAAATCTAATTTTTTAAGGTGTCTCACGCTCTAATTTTGTGTCTATCACACACTCCATGTGGAGTGTTTCTACATAGGATGTCATATCAAAAATTGTGTTTAAAATGATGTGTTTGGATGGTTTTAGGGGTTCAGATGACAAAAAATAAATAAAAGGGTCTAGAATACAAACAGATACAAGTACAAGTGTATACCAGATCATTTCACCTATAATTTATAAAGTAATAAAAAGTTTCAACTTGTAAATATTAAAATTCTAGCTCCCATTTTGGCCGGCCAAGTATGTAAAAGGCAGTCATTCATATGTTAATTGTTAATTAATGGTACAGGAAAAATCACGTCAGGAAGGATGGACAATATTAATATTATATTGCATGCCACATTACTTCTACCTTTAAAAATGCATATTGGAAAACAGTACTCTTGATTGAAGGCGCAACACATTGCCTCGCCATGACTGAATTAGCTTGTGTTTGGATGAGATACGATTTTAATGTTTTAATTTATATTTTATTTAGAAAGATCCATTATTTTGAATTTTATTAAAAAGACTCATACTTAACACTAACATAATATATGTATTCTCATTATTATTATTTGAAAGGATTCTATTGAAAAGTAATTAATTACTATTTTAAATGTTGGCTAATAAATTTATATCTCTGAAAGTTTGTAATTATAAATAGTTATTTATAAGAGAAATACATATTTATGTAATTTATCAATATAGTGCTTAAGGATGTTTTGATAACTTATTTATGAACTCTATAGTTTATTCATTTGATAAATATTGTATAAGAATTGGAGAAAATTGACCAAATTTCATGTCTAAAGAACTTCAAACCTCATAGTATTTAACTCTATAATAATTTTATGTAGCATATATAAACAGATCCACAAATTATAACAAAACAACAAATATGAATTTATTGAATTAATAATGAAACGAAGATGTTGACTATTTTACCCACACACAAATAAATATTAGATGTAGCTTTTGAGTATATGAAAAAAAAAACTATTTTATGTAAAGTATGTGAAAACACATTCTTACTCGAATAATAGATATTTAGCATATGAAAATAATATAAAATAAGTTATTCTTTTCAAATGAAAGAACACTAGGTAACCCTTCTAAATTTCACATTTGAAATGATCAATAATATTGCCAAGTTGTGTAGACGTGATCATAAAGTTTAAAGTCTTACATCTAATAAGAAATACTATAATAAATTGGTAAACATATATATGTTGGATTTAAAGTATCTGGTGAAAATGATGATGCGATTCAAACAAAGACAAAGTTCTCGTTGTGTACTCCATATTCATCTCTTGGGCGCGTAAATTGTTTGGGCCTAAGTTAGTAGGCTTATGCATTAAGAATGGTCCTATTAATGGCACATCTAGCCCAAGCAGAAATACAACAGATATACAAGAAATTTCAGATTTTGTTACATAGCATTGTAAGAAATATTTATAGTTGTATAGTTTGTTATTTATCGTCAGGGTAGGATCAAATGATTAGGTAACAGTTGTAGGTACTAGTCTATCCTTTTTTCTTTACACACTTATATAAATATATATATGCATCAATAAAGAATATACATTGGAGAATGCTCAAATCAACTCTCATTTCTTCAGTCTGTCTACATGGTATCAGAGCAGTAATTGGATCCTTTCTTCTATATTTTTTTTACATTTCTTCCTCTATTTCTGCTCTCTTCAATCAAGTGACTACTCCTACTGAAACAGTGTGTGTCACCAGGTCTTCCAGTGCAGTCATTGTTGTTTCTCCGGATAACAACAATTTTCTTCATCCTTCTAACTTACCAGGCATGAATCTGATAAATATTACCTTTGATAGACATGGTTATAGTGGGTGGAGAAGGTCTATCTTAATAACTTTATCAGCTAAGCACAAATTAGGGTTCATAAATGGTTCTTGTGCTCCTCCTACTAGTGATTCTCCCAACTTTCACTTTTGGACCAGATGCAATGATATGATCATTTCTTGGTTGTTGAATTCCCTCTCTAAAAATTTATAAAAATAAAAAAGAAATTTATTTTTCAATGTACCCCAGTAGATTTACAAATTAAGCATATGTTTCATTTATTTACCAAATAAAAATTAAAATCGGTTAAATCAATAGAAAAAAATATTATTATCGAGATACGAACTCGCGAAGCCAAGTATTTAGATGGTAAAATAAAAAAAAATATGGTTGAAAGTTGAAAATATGAAAAAAAAATGACATCTGAATTTGTATTCGTGAAACCACACTAACTTTGCGAAATGTTGACCCCTTAACCGCTGAACAAACCATTTGCTTATGCTAAGGGGTTCATCATTATGTATATATATGTAAATTAAAAAATTGATCATATTGCATATGTAGTTTTGTCAACATTTCATAATTTTTTTTTAAAAAAATTAATCTCAACTTGAAATAGGAAAGAACATAATTTGTCCATTAAACATAAGTTTTAGCCTTGGCCATAAACACAAAACTTATGGTAAATTATTGACTATTCTATAAGCAAAATATATAAAAGCTTTGCCTAGCAATTTTTTTGAAACATAGGCTATGTTTTTTTTTAAAAAAAAAAAATTGTTAAGAATGTGAAAATAATAATAAATCAAAAGCACTTTCTTTTAGGGAATTTGTGAAGTTAACCCAATGGGCCGAGTTAGAAGTTGGGCTTAATGCATGATAGTAATAGTAAAGAAAAAGAAAAAAAGTGGCCCATATCTGTCCAGTTTGGAGCAATGCACGTCACTGGACCAATGATATTTGAACGCGTGGTAGATCTCCCTATGTAATAGTGGTAATACTACACCACCAGCAGCTGAAAAGTCTTTGATCATATTTGAATCTGAATCTGTATCTGTATCTGTTAAGCAAGCATGGCGGATTGTGCGAGGAAGTTCCTTCTAGCTACCGTATTAGCTCTATTATGTTTCTCATGGACAATCGCAGCCTCCGACGGGCCATTTATTGTCGCACACAAGAAGGCCGCTCTTACTCGACTCAAATCCGACATCGAACGGATTTCCATCTCCATCGACATCTACAACGAAGGATCTGCGTATGCTTTTCTTACTCAGATCTCAACTTCCTTGTTTTCACTTTCCCTCCCTAAATCTGGATGTCGTTTTAATTACTTTAATATTAGGACCTGCAGTAATTAGCATTAATTGTTTGACGCCGTCTTTATCCTACCGGAGTATACTTTGCTCCTCAATTGATAAGGAAATCAAACTAATAAATCTCACTCTTCATTTTGTCCCATTTCCAAACAGCTTCTCTTGATCTGATTGTTTTATTTTGTTAATAAATGTAATTGTTTGAATTATCTGAAACATCCTTGGAAAAAGAGACAACAAATTGCAAAGTAATCTTGACAGGAATCCCTTTTTGACTTCACCTCCCATCCTCACTAATTTATCATTATATTTGTACATTCTATGTTTTGAAACAAATAATATTCAAAACCAAAAAAAGAAAAAACTTTATTTTCTTCTGAATGTGTTTATACATATAATTTTTGTAAAAAATGTTTCTGAAGGACAGTATCGTTTTAAAAGTCATAATGAGTAGTCTATAATTTTTTGATCTCATTGTTTTCTAAGACTAATTCCTGTATAGACAATGTTTAGAAAAAGTTATCCTATTTTTCTGAGTTTAATATCAATGGAATCGTGTATTCAAACTCTCCAGCCAGCACCTGTTTCAGATAACACTATGCACCTTAGTCTTTCTCCACCAGATCAATCTGTCAGGATTTAGATACAAATGGATGATATTGCTGAATGTGATCGGAGAGAAAAGGGCACCTTTTCCCTTTGATTGGTAAGAGGTGGATAAGGAATTGCCAAGTAAAGGGATTTGGAAACCCTCCTAGTCTGCTGTTTGAGTCCCTTGTGCTTGATGAGAAAGATTTCCTACAAGAAATTAAGAAAATACAGTCACCTTGCTGAAATTTGGTTGTTAAGTCTTGGGGGTAAAATAATAACCACTAGTGATATTTGTTGAAAATAGTATTTTCCTTCTAAATAATAATGTGTTCCTTACTTTCTTTTCATGTCATCAGCAATCTATCTCTCGGTACATTTCAAAATGATTCAAACCATGTGCTCATTTTTGAACCATGCGTGGGGTAGAATAATTCGTTGGCTTCAATGTGGTGAACAGTTAGGAATCTAAGAATCTCATTAGCTAATTAGAGAATGACTTTGCGAGATTCTTTTACCTTTTGTTGTGCAACCAACACGCTCTAAAGATTTCAGCCAGTTGCTTATGCATTATCATTTACTGATGGATGATAATGATGTGACTTTGACATGAAAAAGCTCTTTTTGTTCAGGACGGCATACGATGTGAGTCTTTATGATGATAACTGGTCTCAAGATGTATTTGAAATTGTCGCTGGTAACACATCCATGTCGTGGGAAAGGCTGGACGCGTGAGTCCTCTTAAAATTGGTGGCATCTGACTATTTAACTTCTTTATCTTGTCTCTTTTTCATGTTCGTTTATTTGTTTGTCTGATGTCAGTGGGGCTTCTCTCTCCCATTCCTTTGAGTTGGAAGCTAAGAAAAAAACAGTGTTTTATGGGGCACCAGCGGTCATAACATTCCGTATTCCCACTAAGGCTGCTCTACAGGTTTGACATTCTTGCTTATATGCTTCTACTTGGTATGCTTGATATGGATGGTGTTTATCAATAATATTCTCATTTTAGGAGGCATTCTCAACTCCAATCCTCCCTCTTGACATACTAGCTGATAGGCCCCCGGAGAAGAAGTTTGACTGGGTAAGCGCTCAAATACTAGTAGCTGCAGCTGCACAAACTACAGAACACATTTTTTTTTGCTAATTATAGTTTACTAAGAGATGAATTCCCTTTTTTTGCATGGACTGTCCAAATTCGTGGTGAATATTCATCACAGGCAAAGGTATGACATCTTTCCTACAATAATATTTAGCTTTGATAATGCTTACAGCTACGTAAGTTTACATAGAAATAACCCCTTACTAGGTCATCAATCAATATCTGATTTAGGAAAAAAACACATCTGAATTCAGAAAGAATCCGGGCTGCATGGATGGAAAAATTCATCTTATAAACATCTCCCTAAGTTCGACATTTTAAGTTGAATCTATAATTTCTGCATCGTACATGTCCCATGCTTGGTACTTAATTGAATTATAAAATTATGAGAATTAGGATCTCATTTATCACACCTTGTTTACAGAAATTGATGGCGAAATATGGTTCCTTGATTTCTGTGATCTCAATTGTGGTTCTATTTGTCTACCTGATTGCGAGCCCTTCAAAGTCCAATGCTGCGAAAAAGAAGCGCTGAATACAGATTAGCTGGCTTGCAACTTGGTCATTATTCAGGCAAGAATGCTTGGAACCTTCCAGCTTATTCTGTTTGTCCTTGTTAGTCAAACAGTTTATGTACCAGTTTTTAACTTTTACACTTGTAACAACATCCAAGCAGGTAATTAGACTGAGATGTTAGTCTTCGGCAGATCATTAAGCTAAGATTTTCACTTTTTATGAGAATTTTGTTCTGGGTTCCTTGAATACCTAAGTTATTGTTTTTTTGTAGTTTTCTTGCTTCTTGAGCATCAACAATTTCATTTTCTTAATACTTTCGATTGTGCCATTTCATTATTAAGAGGTGCGAAATATTTTGCTGGTCGGATGATGGATGACAAAGATGGCCAGGTCTAAAAGTAAGGTTGTAATAATTTTAGGATGCTTGTGTAATATTCTAGTTAACCAGCACTTGACCCTTGTGCACGGGTATACGGTATTACGTCTTCACGCTGATGGGTAAGTAGGTTTACATCCGTAAGGCATAGTACCTGATTTTTTTTAATGCCTTAAAAACATGATTTTAGAGAACTCCAAGGCACTCTAAAATTGTTCAATATGCTTCTATATGAAACGATAAGAATCATTCTTGTATGTGCTCAACGGTTGCCAAGATTGTTGACATAAAGAAAAAGTTCCGACGGTAGAGTAGAGAAACATATTTCCGTTACTCCTTCCTTACAAATGACAAAATTCACTGTCTTGCGAACCTTTCCACCCTTGAATTACAAGAGTGTCCATGTTGTTTGTAAGGCGAACGAGGGAACAGAATTAATCAATTACATGTATATGCATAAAAACAGACAATAATCAAGTATGATGGCCCTCCACCACAGGAATCAAAGACAATTATAGTAAAGAAAAAGCTGTAACGAATTACCCAATCGATGATATGGTGGGTGCTGGAGCCTGTAAAAGAATGAGACGATGACTTGTAAATGGAAAAACGTCTGAACAAAATTAGGTGTGCGATGCAAGTACATCTTCTCCATATTGAGCCTTGGCACCTCCAGTGCCAGTGCTCCAAACATCACTTGGCAGGATTACATACAATGGGTTCATTGTTTCCTACTTGCTCATGTTACCAAAAGGGCTATCAAGTTTGTTGCACCCATTCAACACAAATAACATACTTTCTCGTAATCACATGTTGCAGTTTTGGGTTCGCAATGGAACAGTCTAAATTCTTTGACACATCTATCAGTGAGTGCTTACAGCATTAGTCATCTGCTACAACAGTGATTTAAGCACTTAGCCTTCTTCATAGGAAGCCCCTTAATTCCTGCAACTCTTTTTTAATTCCTGCAACTTTTAACAAGCAGAAAATTGAGGTAGAGTTGCAAAGAGCATTCTTTAGTTTATAGTGACAATTATAAACGCTATGCTTTTACAGTTACTAAGTTAATCATCTTTATTTGCCCATAAGTAGTAGACCCTCGCCCTAAATTTGTTTTAACTTTAAAAAAGAACAAGGTACGTTTCACGTATTTATCCAAAATTATGAACTTAATAAATCAATGCTAGTCCCCACTCACTTTAAAACTTCAAAGTACAGATAACATTAGTTGGTCACAACCAAATTTGCCTCAATCTTCTCCAAAGACAAACTATCCTCAAAGATTGAAGTACAAAACAATTTAAAATGTGGTTTTACTCTATGACAATGCAACAGTACCTCCCAGCATCACCCCTCCTCCGGACAGACTCAAGTAAATGAAAACAGCTCAACTGTCGATAGCTGTAGGTTATGATCCGAAGAGTTTATGACATTGACTGCTAATAATACAACACCACAAGAAATGAGCATAATGAATGAAGGAAAAGGTCAAAGGAAGAGGTGCTCCATTGTTGCCAAAAAAGGGCCATACTCTCTAATCTGCATAGTTTCCTCAACACATCACTTTCCACATTTATTCAAACTTCTATTAAAACAGATCAGCAACTTGCGTTATGAAATCCAACATGTCACTGGAAAGACGAGAAAGAACAAATGTTTTGCAGAAACAGAGTGTCCCCCCCATAGTCCCTTTAGCTTTATCAGAAGTCAATATTTTGTTGGAAACAAATAATCGCTGAAAATCTTATTCCCCAGCAAACTTGGTCTATCAGTTCAATAGAATGTTACGTTAAATCAAGTTGTTAACTGATTTAACCAACAGAAGATATCATCCCTAGGTTCAGATTAGAGCCATTAGGCGCAAACCATGCAGTCACAACCTGGTCATGTATGCCCTCCTTCTTGTACGTTTCTGTTGAGTTCAAGACTCCTAAAAGATTACTATCATATGACAAATTAGTCTGTTTCCCTAACCCAGACAGAGGAACTAACTGCTTAAAACCAGAACTGATAATCAGTCAAGCTAGGTCAAACAAAGAGCAGTAGTGCAGACACATGATATTGTAGATGCTGGCTTCTCTTGAACGACCAAAATAAGTGGTTAAATAAACAATGTGAGCATCGTAACGTTTCATGCAAATGCAAATGAGAAGTCAAAATCAGCTGTTAAGGATTGGTACACAAACTTGTTAAACACCAAGAATCGCATTCCATTGTACAACACAGGAACAGGCTGATAACTAAACAATGACCTGTTCTTCCTTAAGAAATGCATGTACAAAAGCATAAGAAAGAGTGGTAACATTCTGTTAAACAATTCAGTAGCATGAAACTTATTTCCAACTGATACATAATTGCAGAGTAACCTTGGCATGTTAAACAGCCAGGAAACAAACATTTCATTTTCAAACATAATGCTATAGCAATCTCAAAGTGTACATAGAAGATGCTACAGCCTACAGATAGCAATATAATATGAGGGAAGTAAACAAGAGCAAGAAACCAATTGTAAGAGATATTAGTTAAGTGAAATACAACATCAACTATTGCTACTACGAGGTTGAAAGACTTGTCTTATCTAAATAATAACTGTAAAACATAAAAATAACACGCATTTCTACTAATCACCTTTAACGGGATCATCAGATATCTTAAGGCCAGATTGATGGGTACGCCGTCGAGTCCTGGAGGGGATAATGTTACCCAAATCGACTTCGGCCAGTAGATCGTCGGAAAGGTCAGTATCAGTGTCAACATCAGATTCGCTCTCAAAATCACTAGAATCATCATCGTCAGAGTCCTCAATCAACTTTCCCTTCCCCTTGTCATCCCTTAAAATCCCTTTTCCCTTACGATCGACTTCTGCCTCTCCATTGGACTGCTCATCTTCATCATCCTCACCTTCATAGTCATCTTCATCTTCATCTTCGTCTTCGTCCACGTCAACTTTGTTCTCCTGGGCGTGTGGAGAAGAATCAGTAATAGAGAGTTTTTGCTTCTTGTTTACATCGTCTTCGTGGGCATTGGCAATGGCAATGGCTTCTTCTGCTTGGGGCTTTCTTTTTAGGGGGAATATATCTTCTTCTTCAGCCATTTTGTTTTCAGAGGAACACCAACACCAAAAACTAGGGTTTTACTAACTGCGCTTCCCTTTCAGCAATTTTCTTTTAAAAAATTCTCAAATAAACAAAATTAGGATTATCTATTCTTCTTCAATAATATTTGAAAATACTCATAAAAATAATACTAAAATCAACTCAACTTTATTTCAAATATTTTTGAAAAAAAAAATAATAATTAAAAACTACATATATGACCACATCTTCACTTCCAACTTAATAAATTTCAAATAGTAAAAAAAAATCTTAAATCTTGATTGCTTATTTTAGAGCTCTTTGTATTTGAGCTTAAATTCTAATTAAAAAAGTATGACCAAGTGATAAATATACACATTCCTCTTGAATACAACATAACTAAATTTAAAGTCAAAAATATCCTTAAATAATTCGAAATATCTTATATTTATTCTTAAATTATATTTTAGCTCAAATTTAATTTTTTCGTTAAATATCTAATTTTTCTCTCAAAATACATATTTCCCCTCATTTCTCAATTTCCTCCGCTAATAGAAGGTGCAGTATCGGATCGAAACAACAGGAGGCGTGATTGAATTCTTCCTTTTTATGTTTTATTCTTTTTTCTAGAATTGTAAGCTTTGGAGATGAGAAATCTACTCATCTATGATCATGCCGTTTTGTATACCAACACTAATTGATTACTTTGAATTTAGTAAATGTCAAGAAAGGGAACACTCCAATCTACTTTCAAATCACTTTCTATTTTTAAAATTTAGAGAGTTGAATAGTAGTTCTCTAAATTTGAAAAACTACTATTCACACTTTCTATTTCACTTTTCCAATATTTTATTTTTATTTCCATTAATTTTCAATTAACATATTATTTTACATGTAGTTTCATTAATTAAATATCTAATATTCATGATTCTTTTAAAATGAAATATAATATTTTTTAAAAAATTATTATTTAATATATACTATTTTAATATTAAATTAATATACATTTTTTTTTATAATTTTCATCAATAATAAATTTTTTATTTTATTATAAAGAATACACAAAATTAAAATGTTAAAATGAGAAATTTAATTTAAATATAAGATAACAATACAATACATAACATAGTAACTTAAACATAAGATAAAATACAATTCATAACATAATAATTAATTCGTGATGAAACAAGAATCATGTCGAAAAGATGTGAAACGTGCACTCGGAGTTTTGCAATTACTGCAAGACGTTCACATTTTTGAAGAAAGAAAGTGCTACATGAATAAACTAGAAATAATAATATGGTTTTTTTAATTTAAAAAATAAGGGTTCAATTTAGAGCAATAACATTTGCAACATAAGAACAACGTGAAATTTGAAGCATAATATCGAGGAACGTAACTTCAAAAGACAAAAAGGGTCCCTGTGATTTTCTCATGGCTCCATTATAATTGCGTAGGATAATAATTCCAGTGAGTGAGTGATGCATGGATCCATAGTAAAAGACGGAAACTCCAAAGCTAAAAGAAAAACACCATTGCTATACAGAGCTTTTTCAACACCTGGCTTGCCTTCCCTCGAACACTTGCAAAATTAAGTTTCGACCGTTCACACTTAACAAAGACAAAGTGACAACTCCTCACCCACTAATATGAATGAATCCTTCCCGACTCCCAATGGATTGGCTCATCCATGTTGCACAAATGTCACTCCTACTTGTGCAAGCTCTTTGGTCATAATTCACCCACCCACTTCTCAATATCTATCACTAAAAGAGAGGAAGCCTTTCTTTCTTTTTTTGTTTTTGTTTTAGAGAGAGCATTGGTGATGGAGATAACCGAGGCGTATGGAGTAATGGCAGATGGAAACAACAATAACAGTAACAGTATGATGAATCCTCCAACTCCCACCAAAAGAAGTCGCAGCCAGAGGCGTAGGCGTTCTTCCCTCAACTTCACTTCCCTGGATTTTCTCTCACACGTGCCACCACCTCTTCCTCCTTTGCCCCCCGCACGTGTATGTCCCCCTCTTTTCTTTTTGATCCCTTGCAATTGAATTTTTGGGGGAAGGAAGACTAGATAGATACAAGTAGTGTTGTGTTTAAAATAAAAAGTGTTTACTTGCTACTCATGTTAAATTGCTTTGTCAGTTGTGCCATTATAGTGTAAACTTGAATAGCATGAGTGAAGTCATGATCTAAGCTCAGATTTGTAGTAATAGTTGTGTTGTTCCTGATGGATTGGGGTTAGGGTCATTTGATTATAAGATTTTTCCTTACTACTGTGAAGGTCATTCAAGTAATTAGTTTGAGGAATTTGGAAATACTTGGATTCCCATCAATGAATATGAAATACCAGGGCATGCTAATCACCCAGTCCACAAAACCTATATGCAAGCTGATCCAATAATTACATCGATATAGGTATGAAATGATGCAAACAATGAAATTCTATTGAACATTAATTTGGTGAAAACTTTATTCATCTATCCTTGGCAATGTAGTTCATTCAATACCCTGTAAACAAACAACATTATACATTTTCCTCTGGACCATCTCTCTTATAAGAAAGAAACAGGTAGGTTGTGTTTGCGATCATCCATTCAGCTAAACACATTAATAATTTGCTTCAGGTACTTGAACCAACAGGGTTCAGATTTCTCTTCGACAAGCAGCTCCAGAACAGTGATGTCAGCTCCCTGAGAAGAATAGTTGTGCCCAAGGTGATGGTCGTGTATGCATTTGTTTTCATTTGGAGTATACATTGAAGTAATAATTCTTCTAACAATTCAGAAAGCAGCTGAGCGATATCTTCCAGCTCTTGAGATCAAAGAAGGGTTTCCCATCACAATGGATGACATGGATGGTATCCATGTTTGGAGTTTCAGATACAGGTTGGAGGTCCCCTTTTATTTTTCCAAATTTACTTGACGGAATTCAAGTGTCAAGACCAGAACATATATTTGATGTTTTATTATTATTATTATTATGTATAGGTACTGGCCAAATAACAGCAGCCGAATGTATGTGCTTGAAAATACTGGTGAGATCTCCACAGCTAGCCCTTCCTTTCCAATTAAGTTTTACTTGTGCAAAAGCTAAAAAGTGTTGGATTGGATTGATGGTCAGGTGACTTTGTCCAAACACATGAATTGCGCCAAGGAGACTACTTTGCACTCCACTACAATGATCAAAAGCAGATTTATGTAATTAAGCTTGCTCTTTGATTCTTATGTTTACTTTGAAGTAATTTGTCAAAGGCTGGCTGGCTCTATATGGATATGTTTTTGTGTATAGGGTATTGAAGCGAGGAAAGCTGGAAGTGGAGCGGTATTCCGAGGTTATGAAGCGGAGGACGTGATTTTAACTGATTATGCACAGGCTGCAGATGATGGGAATGGAGCGCTTATGAATGAAGCAGAAATGGATATGTCCAGCTTTTACTTCCCTGCAATGGACAACGAGATGGGCATGTCCTTCATTTATGATACCAGCTTCTGGAACGAGCCTGCCTTCGACTTTGTAGGGGGTCCTATGACCTATTACTCAACTAATGTATATCCAATGCCAAGCTTTGGGTCCATTGAAGACAGCTTCAGTGTGGATGATTTCTACTGAAGACAGAGTCCAATACAGACATACTACTAATCCCATGCAGCCTTGTAATCTAATGCATACTCTAAACCAGAGTAAGTAGCGTTTTGAAGCAAAAAGCAACAACACTTTATTAGTAAGTTTTGACTCGGTTGGTCAAAAACTCTTTACCACCCTAAATGTAATAAGCTGGTGGAGACTCTAGAAAAGGGAAAATATGAAATAAAAAAAGGCGCATACAGAATGTGTTGTTTGATGTATGTTTGACTCGTCCAATGGCATTAGGTGTTTTTAGCAATTATTTTTACAACTTCACTTGAGCTTTTGCGTCTTTGAGAGCAGTTTTCTCATAATTTTGTTTGGTTTGGTTTCAAGGTACAAAAAGTAGGAAAAATTCCATCAACAAGGTATTGTAGGTGCAGGATAAAACGATAACAGGGATAGGGTGGGTATAACGGTCGCAAAACAAGCTTATGTAGCCAATGTGGATTAACCAAAAATAACGTTATCATCATTCTGCAGCTGTATAACAAGTCCCTCCCTGCCTGCGGAAAGTTTTTTTAGAACATTTTTTGGTACATCAGACAGTTAAAAATGAACAAAGCAAATCATATAGCAGCCTCCACTATACTTTGTTATTCCCATCTCGAATGGGAAAAGCTTAGCATCAAATTGATTTTTTTATCTGTTCTAACAAAAAAAGACATCCGCAATGCTTAAGTTTTAGGGGAACTCCCCCTCTCCAAAAATTTGAAAATCAGAGAAATATAAAATTGTAAAGATTGTTGAGCGAAAGAACACTCTCCAGCTTGCTTACTACGAAAGAGCACTTAAGGAACATCTGCAATCTATGTTTATTGTTTAATCTGGAGAAGTCTACTTTTAAACTTGGTGAAGAATTAATTTGTTCTCAATCCTACACCTTCGCAACCTCAGAGTCAGCAGGTACAGCAGGAGCAACACCACCAGTTGTTGGCCTACAAATCAAGTCAGAAAAAATAAAACCAACATAAAAATTTAAAATCTCAAAGTAGACTGATAAAGGAAAAGCAGACAGGTTTAGAATGTCCAGTTATGAGTTAGAAGAAGACACTTACAGCCCAACAAAAACCTTGAAAGCATCATAGATTCCCCATTGAGCACCAGTAAGAGTTCCAATCATGACAATACGTAGAGGTAGACCACGGGTAAAGAGGCCCAATACTCCTATCTTCTTTACGGCCTGAGACATAGTTTTTTTTTATTAAAAACAAATGGGGGGGTCACATGGCGGATTAATGACTTGCGAACATATAAGAAAATTAAAGGGGAAGAGAAACAGATGGTCTAACAAACAACTAAATGCTTACATCACCAACAGTTGCACCCTTCGCATTGTTGAGGAACGAGACAAGATTGTCAGCAGGATGGGATACAATGGCACAGAAGACACCAGCTATATATCCACCAGCAAAACTAATACCAAGTTGCATAGATTTGCTGCACTCGTTTTTAGGCTTTGGGACTGCATGCTTGTAGATCATCTCCACAATAGTCTCAAAGGACGCAAACTTCATCATTGTATCTGGCAATTTTAGATATTTAATTCTTAATGTCCAATAAATGATAACTAAACCAATGTCACTATTAAAAGAACAATAGCACAACCAAATACGCACTAATAAAACATATACACAGTGGTGTGATAAAATAGGCATCATCTGAATTACCAACACCACTCAAATGTATCCATCCCTAGAAACTTAGCACCCAATAGCAGAAAAAACATCATGACATGGGGGACCCAGCCCCTTAATATATGTACTGTATTACTTCATATCACGTAGCTCGATTTCTTACATTCACCTAACTAAAGGGAAGCCCCATTACCAGAACAAGAAAGATAGATTGATTTCCATCAGCAATGACAATAAATAACTGCTGCATCCAGTGTTCAGGAGCAAAGTGATGCGAGCCTTCTACGCTTCACAGACTAGAATGAGCACTTCATCACCCAAGTGAAGCGGGGCATTATCGCTTTTTTCCGCTTCAAGCTTCCCTGAACACTGGCTGCATCCAAACGTAAGCCCTCATCCAGCCATTTTACACTCCCAAACATTCTGGGGCCTAGAACCCAATAATAGGAACTACTGCAATTCAAAATGAGGTTTCTGACCCAATATAATAAAACAGACATGGAGAATAATCTCTATTTTTTCTATTTAACAGAAGAAGTAAGAGCTATTTCGCTCAAACAACTATTCCAAACTAGCACAAGCTCTTTCTGAGGGTGGCGAGGTGAGGTTTCAGCATTTGGAAGTTCAATTGTTTTTTAAGACAGGTTCAACTAAACAACTATAGGTTTTATGAATTCTAGCAAACATAAAAAAAGCTTCACTCATTTGAGTAATCATACCCCTACTCACATAATTGAATTGCCCAAGTAATAAACAAGTTCTTTGATGATAATAAACAGATGGTTTAACTTACATGGAATCTGACGTCCCCAAAGAGGTACCAAGCCTTTGTACAAGCTGCACAAATGTAGGAAAAAATAAAAAGCTGTTCTGTAAGGTACATATTAAGGAATGTGCAAAACAAAGATAAATAGCATACCCCATGGGACCTTCAGATCTAACAAATTTCGGCAATCCATCAGACAATCCCCTAGCGAAACCAGGCTGTGTCTGAACACGAACCTTTACAGCTTCAAATGGGCAAAGAGCAATATCTGCAATCACTTCAGCAGATGCAGAACCAGCAAGGTATATCAGAGTTTTGTATTTTGCAGCATTTTCTGCTCCGGCGAGGTCCGAGTAGTACTTCTTGAAGAATTCATAGAATCCAAACTTGCATGCACCCTGAGCACTGTAACCTAACAGGGTAGGAACCCATCCCCTGAAGAATCCCCTGGGACCTTGCTCCTTAAGAAGGACGCCGAATCCAGACGATATGCTCTTGTATTTCGCAGGGTCAATCTAGTAATAATTTATACGATTGCGGTCAGTTAAGATGCTTCATGCCTAATGTAAACAATACAAGAAGATAAAGTTTCATAGTGGGATTAGACGATGATACAAGTTGCAGCAAGATGTGAAAATCTTAAATAACAGTAGGATTAAAAATTTAGATCTAGAAGATGAGCAACAATATACATGTGGAGAAGAGTTGAGATCGTGTGAGAAATGGATAGATCTGCAAATGAGATGAACATAATCTGTACCTGCATGTTACATTTGACGAGATCGAGTGGAGTGACAGCCATGTGAGTGAGACCACAACTGAGGATACCACCGAAGGTACAGGCAGCGTAAAACTGCGGGGAGTACATCTCGATCTTGCCAGGTTCATTAGGTGCCGGAATAATGAGGTTGTTGTTGGGAACACTGGTGGTTTCTGGAACAGCAAGGGTTTTGGGAGTTAAAGAAGAAAAAGAAGATGTTGGGGAGTAGAGAAAGCTTGGAAGAAGAGACTGACGGCGGGAGTTCTCCATTGACACAGATTCAGATTGAGATCGGAGATCGGAGATCGGAGATCGGAGATCGGAGATCAGAGAAGGCAAATGAAGAATCTCGTCTCGCTCTCCGAATACCTCCTTTTTCTATTTCGACCTAAAACAATTTCCACTCTTTTGTACTGCCCAATCAACCGTTCACCAATAAATAATATCCCTCCCAAAAAATGAGCCATCCCTCATTTTAGGGCATCCAATAGGAAAATCAAATAAATTTGGTTAGTAAATACATTTTATAAAAGAATAAGTGGAGTGTAAATGATTAAGTAGGAATTCAATTAATTTGGTTAGTTTTTTATTTACATATGAAATAAATGGTTAGTATATATAATTGATGTGAAGTTTTTATATTTGTGGGTCAATTTTTATACATGAAAAATTCTAATCATGATTTTTGGAAAAATTTGAAATTTTATCTCATAATTCAATGAAATCGTAGTGTTACTTAAATTGCAATTCTTAATTGAAATTTTACCATCTATCACTTTTTACGTCAATATAATTGTTTCCTTTTATATGCAACCTACCTAAACGGCTAAATATCAGATGGACCAATTAATATGACAAAAATGAATGAAATAGCTAATTTGGAGAAATATAAGCTTCAATTGAAAAGAAGTGGACAAAAAAATAGGTACCGGCGAGAAGTTCAATATACTAGTTAGTCTAATGAGAAACGATTTATCATTGTTTACTTATTTTAACTATAAGTTTTATATATTGATTGAATAATTGCATAAATTATATTAATATAATATGAGAAGTTTTTATTTGATTTAATTTTATAGAGTCGTATTTAAACAAAGATAAAATACTCTGAAGATAGTCTTTGGCAGTGACATTGCAAACAATTAAAGGAGTGCTCTATATGTTGAATAAGTTTTATGAATCGATATGTTATGATTCGATTATTGAGATAAAAATAAGGTAAAAGGAGAAGAAGAGCATAAAAAGAAAGCAGACAAGTACGGGCATAACGGTAAATGCAAGTTGGCAGGACCTTAACCGTATATGCTTTAGGGGTGTTGTATCGAATATCGATAAAAGCAATCATCCAACAATTTATTTACCCACAACAACTTGGTTCTTCTGAATATACGTTAGAATTCTATTCAATAGTACCAAAATGATTGGCATTTCATCTATTTGGATGGTTATTATACTATTATTTTAATAAAGTATATTACTTTTTATCAAAAAATTAACATACTCCTAAGTCCAAAATTCCTACTTGTCTCAACCAAAGAAACAAGATTTTCATTGAAGAGAAGAAAAGTTGCATATTCTACTTACTTCTCCGCTTTCTCTCTTTTGCTTTGACACATGACATACCACACAACTAGTTTGAGATTGAAGAAAATCATATTCCATGCAAATCTCTATCAAATTATGCTATGCACCACCATGCAAATCTCTATTACTCAATCACCAATAGTCCCCACATGAGCATGAGCCGTCCTTGAAATGGTGAAATCTCTTTGCATCTCTGACTACAATTTCCCTACTAACAATCTTGTATATTATCTTAATTGTTGTATGACAGTCTCCACATATCCTTAGATTCTTAATCACCTGAATGGTACTACCAGGGACAGAATTCATGACCCCAAAAGCAACAGCAAGCTTCTCACTATGAACTCGCAATGTTAGTCCTTTCTCTTCATCCTCAACATCATGAAGATCAGATGTCGTGTTGGGTACATACCCAGCCATCTGCAGCTTTACAGATAACTCTTCCAAATAAGCATAAACCTTCTCATGTTGAGGGTGTTCTCTATCACCAACCACAAATACATGAACCCTGCCTTTGAGTTCAAGCAGGCTGAACCCAGGAGGTTTACTTAATCCACGATTTTTCATAAGTATCCTCATCTTCTCTACATCTCCCCACCTTCCAGCATCAGCATATATGTTTGAGAGCAAAACATAATACCCACAGTTTGTTGGGTCTAACTCAAACAAGTTACTAGCAGAAATCTCCCCAAGCTCCACGTTCTTGTGTATCCTGCATGCAGCGAGAAGAGAACCCCAAATGACAAAGTCAGGCGTCACCTTCATTTCTTTTAGCAAATCATATGCCCTGGTAAGGAAACCAGCACGTCCAAGAAGATCAACCATACAAGCATAATGCTCCACTCCTGGTTGTATGCAAAATCTAGGTTCCATAGCCTTAAACCAATACCATCCTTCATCTAGCAACCCACCGTGGCTACAAGCTGCAAGTACAGAGACAAAAGTAATGTAGCTTGGTTTTACCCCAGCTGAGTTCATCTCGTAAAA